GGGTCTGTAGGTCAGTGTGGGTCTGTAGGTCAGTGTGGGTCTGTAGGTCAGTGTGGGTCTGTAGGTCAGTGTGGGTCTGTAGGTCAGTGTGGGTCTGTCAGATTAATGAGTGTTGGTACTGGTACTGTCTGTAAGATCCAGATTTTCACTCACCTGTTTTATTTTTGTCGTCTGCTGCCTTTTCCCTCGTCTTGTCTTCTGCTCTGTGAAGATCTGCACAAACAAACAAACAAACAAACAAAAAAGTAAATATTTGTTTTTCTGTGTCAGCTGAACACAGCGAGGCCCGTCGGGTCATAAAGGTCTGGTTACCTGGGCGGTGGAGCAGCAACCTGCAGGGTAGGGCATACGCAGAAACAGTGTGCTGGTAGACCAAYGCAGACAGACTTCCTGCAAAAACACACAATGAACCATGAACCTGAACCTGTGAACTTCCTGAAAACCCTCAATATGAGTAGATGGGCAGGTGCCTGTCTAACTCCTGAAAACCCTCAGCTAACTGATGAAAATGAGGTGACTGGAAGTAAACCCTGAGYGGGAGGAATGTTGGGAAACCACATCCCACCAACATGATTCTGTTCTCATCATCAGGATCTGGATTCCCGGTCCRTTTGGGTCTTGTAGGACTTTACTCACCAAAGTACGGCTCCTGGGAGGAACCTCTGATCCGAACGCCTTTAGCTGTTGATTCAATCAGGAAGTGTCTGATCCGGTCTGAGTTACTCTCTCCTGTTTACAAACAAAAAGTTATAATTTTAAATTTATTTCCCTGTACTACAGCAGGTCTTCAAGTTCTGCAGAATCCTGTTGATGACTCAGTTGACCAAGGCCAAAGTTAATCACTGCCGTYTAAAAAACACTTTTTTATAAACATTTAGTTTCACTGAGTCACCAGAAATCTTAAAATATTCCTGGAAGTGCAGAGCTATTACTTTAGAACAGGTCTGGATAAATCTAGAATAAACAGTTAAAGATGTGGTAAAATGTAACGTAAAATTTATTAGATCATAAAATGTATTAGATCATAATTACTCAAACACCATTGATCTAATCAGAAGATTTAAARGGAGTTGGATAAGACAGAGAAAACTCAGATGAAGGTTTGGCAAACTATTCAGGTTGAACTTTTGTGCTCAAACAGAAAGAACCAAAGGAAGCCTTTTGTGACAAACTAATAAAAAAACAAAACAACGGTAAACAAGAGGAAAGGTATCAAGTTTCACCTATGAAACAATTCAGCCTCTGAAGTGGTTTCACAACCACTTACACCTTGAAATGTGTGACTATAAACACTACAAGCATCAGCAAGACACTTTTGGTTGAAATACTCAAGTGTAAACAACTGGGTTTGTGTCAGGGTCAAGRTTTACCTGGATATGGAGCAGCAACGGCAGCTGAGGTAGGCGACAGATCCACCTTCATGGCCAAACCAAAACTCCCCCTGTAGGTGGTGCTCTCCCTCACCACAAACGTCCCTGCTTCTTTGTCTTTTATAAGAGCTTCAGCTGAAAAGAAAAGAAACAAAGACCTTCAGATGTTAAAAAGAACAAACCGAAAGACCTTCAGATGGWATAGGACAAAAATAAATACTTTCAGATGGTTTAGAACCAAACAAAAGACCTTTTAGATGGTGTAGAATGAAACAGAAAATGTTTAGATCGAAGACCTTCTGATTGTATAGAACAAAACAGAAGACCTTGAGATTGTATAGAACCAAACAAAAGATCTTTGGATGGTATAGAATCAAACAGAAGACCTTTAGATGGTATAGAATCAAACAGAAGACCTTTGGATCATAAGGAACCAAACAGAAAACTTTCAGATTGTATAAAACCAAACAAAAGACCTTTAGATGGTATAGAAACAAACAGAAGACCTTTAGATGGTATAGAACCAAACAGAAGACCTTTAGATGGTATAAAACCAAACAGAAGACCTTTAGATGGTATAGAACCAAACAGAAGACCTTTAGATGGTTAAACTTTAATTTGTTCCACAGAAGAGCAGCTTTCTTACCTTCTGCTCTGCTGATGTGTGGACGGAACCAGAACTTTGACGTGTCCATGACAAACTTCATTGACGGTATGCTGCCACAGAAACTGCTCTGGTGCCCTGGAGAYGTTTTTTTAGAATGGAACAGAGGGATGTTCTGGATCAGGTCCACCTCTGGTCCTGGACCGTGTAGGTCTGACTCTGGCGCTCCGTTGATGAGCAGTAAGGGAATATCTGTTTGGGAACCGGAGAGCGAAGCAGGACTGCTGCGTGTCCCTGAACTGTGGAGTTCATGAAGATGTCCATGTTTGGTCAGAGACGGCCTGCAGTCAAACATCCGGGTTCTGGATCCCTCGGTGAAGGACCCAGGTGTGCAGGGAGGGATGGATTCTGAGTGGTCGGTGTCTTCTGCAGTCAGGGACAGGTTGCTGTTTCCAGAAGACATRAAAATAGTAAATAAACAGATATATCAGTTTCTTCGTTTGTTTTTCCATTTTTTGTGAATTTTGTCTACATTGTGTTTGTTTAGCACCTGCCCAGGATGTAGCTGGTGTCTGAGCACGTGGACGTGGAGAGGAGCGAGGTGGYGCTGTTCCTGTTGGAGTGGGACGTGCGCAGGGATCCGTGGGAAAGCTCTTGTTTTGGTGAGGGGTTCCTCCTGGGGGCACTTCCACATGGCAGCGGGGGCAGGAAGGACGACGGAGACCCGGAGAACATGGGCAGACCTTTGGAGCTGCTGCCCAGGATCGGGATGGGACTGCTGGGCGCCGCTGATGGCACCACGATGGGTGAGGAGCTGGGCAGACATCCTCTGGGAACCAGGACGCAGCCAGAACCTTCATCAGAAAACAGGGAGCCTGAGGAAAAATATTATAAACTCGTTTAAAATTTAGGATGGAGCGTTCCCTGAAGGAATGCAAACCCAACAAATAAACACGCTTCAGTCCAGAGAAGACGGCAGCTTTTCTGGATAGTTTTTTTTAGATGTGTTGCGCCATAAAATTTGAAATTACGTTTTTTTTAAACAGTAAAATTTCTTAGTTTCAGCATTTGGTCTGTTTAAATGTTACATTGTTAAAATACCTTCCCTTTGTGTTGAGCAGCCACAGCTGCAGCTACTCATCCACATCAGCCCCAGCCTCTTTACTTTGTCTTCACTCACTTTTCAGTCCTGCATTATTAGCTTCCCTTTGAGCTCCTTCGGTCCAGTCCACTTCTAAAATCAGGACCTTTTCAACATTGTGTTTGTAAACTAAGATACTCTTGTCTTGGTCAAATCTAGGAAACAATAATTATTTGTGACTGCAGGGAACATTGTTTGATCTGTTATTATTGTAAATTAATCTAAATTTCAGCTCGAAACCTGCAAAATCTTTTGAGCTATGACCATTTTTGTGTTTGCTACGGTTGATCAAAGGATGTAAAACAGAAATCCCAGGATGTTTTTGTGCGCAGAACAGCTCATTATGTAACCAGAGTTCACCTGAGAAAAAAAACCTTCATATTTGTCCTGAAGGAACACGCAGGAGAAGATCATCTTTTCCTAACTGAATTGTTTTCCAAGGCGTTTTCCTTCTTTTGCAATAACTGCAGTGAAAGGAGTCTGAACTTGTTCCCGGGCCTCAGAATTATGTCTCTATGGGAATAAAAACAGCCTGAGGTCAGTGACTTCAGTCAGACGTGTTGGTTTTAAAATTAAAGTAACATTAATAATGACTAATGTTCTTACAAAGATGGTAAAATCTGCTGAGTTGCTTCAAAGAGAAACACTCAGAAACAGGAAGTAGGTACTCATCAACACATGAATTTCTCTTCTGTTTTTGCCACCCMAGAACGGCGAGGCTTCTGATAAATGTTTTTGAATTTCCTGTAAGCATTTTCACCTCTGTTACACTCAGACAGTTTCAGGCGAGCACCAATCTTTCTACAAACGCAGAGCGGCGGGAAAAGATTTTCTGTGCTTTGTTGCCTTTTGTACAGACTTGATATGTGACTACGGGCTGACAGGGTGTGGTTTCAGTCGAGGCAGAAGTGGTACAATAACCACACAATTAAAAATAATAGATCTATTTCAAAGGGTGTGTGCATTTTTTAAAAGCTGCAGGCGACCTGAAGCTTTTTGAGGTTCAACTCTGCAGCATGGAGAGCTAACTCTGCTGCTACGCTGCATGGCTTTGAAACAAGACAAATCATTAAAACAACTGACTMTCTGGCTATTTCCAAGATACAAGCACAAATAATTAGCACAAAATTCCTAATTTTCATTAAAAAAAACTTTGACAAAAACATTCCTAATTTTCTAAAATGCATGAAAAAAAACATCAGTGGGTCAAACATGGAGCCTTGGAGAGCCCCTAAACTTTCAGTTTGAGACTTTTTGGGTCTCTAAGAGTTAAAAAAAAATGTCACTAACGCATTTTAAATATTTTAGCTCACTTGAAATGTTAAATGTTAATAATTTCAGGGTCACAGGGGTCACTGGTGCCCATATCCACCAGTCACAGTGCGAGGGGCGGGGTACACCCTGGACAGGTCTCCAGTCCATCACAGAGACACACATAGAGACAAACGAGACAAACAACCATTCACTCTCTCACTCACACCTAGGGACAATTTAGAGTTATCAATTAACCTAACAGTCATGTTTATGGTCTGTGGGAGGAAGCTGGAGTACCGGAGAAAACCCACGCATGCACGGAGAGAACATGCAAACTCTACCCAGAAAGGTCCCCAGGCTGGGATTTGAACCGGCGACCTTCTTGCTGAGAGGCATCAGCTCTACCAACTGAGCCTTTGTTGTTGGAGCTCAGCTCTTGTTATGACATCATCATCCTGAGACAAAAGAAACACTAATGATGCTAACTCTCCTAATTATGCTAATGCTGCTAATGATGCTAATGTAACTAAAGATGAAATTTAAAATCTAAATTCAAAATGTGTTCATTGAAAACAAAAAGGATGGTACCTGTGGTCCGGCAGGTTGGAAACGTGGCAGCATTAGCAGAGTTAACAGCATTATCATATTTAGCAACGTTAGAAGAGTTAGCAGCATTAGAAGAGTTAGCAGCATTAGAAGAGTTAGCAGCGTTAGAAGAGTTAKCAGCATTAGAAGAGTTAGCARCATTAGAAGAGTTAGCAACATTAGCAGAGTTAGCAGTGTTATCATATTTAGCAGCGTTAGCAGAGTTAGGGGTTGCTTTTGTTCATAGGATGAGGATGTCATAAGAAGAGCTGAGAACCAACAGCAAAGGCTGTGTTCTATTTCGAAGTTTACATTTAGATTTACAATTTAATATTTAGAAGTAACTTTAAATTTAAAATTAAATTGTTAAATAATAAAAATGATCAAAATATGAGAACACTGAGCTAAATAACAGTAAGATGTTAGTGTATCTGTAAGTGAGCTAAATAATGAAAATGTGTTAGTGACATTAGTAACTTTTTATTTTACATCTGTAAAATAATGTGTAAATATATGTACATATTATGTAATATGTAAATAATATGTAAATCTATTATTGTAGATTTAAACATTTGTTCTTTGAATAATTTCCTACAAGTTTTATCATTATAGTTATTTTCTGTTAATTTTATGAACGTTTGACATTTTATTTATTTCTTTAAAGTTAATTTCTCTTCACAGATTCCAAAGGTGTAAAACAGCACATGATTCCTGTTGTTCCTTTACCTGCTGGGGGGCTTTTGCAGGACGGGCTTCTGCTGACTGGGACCGGTTCAAACGTGGGGTCCAGTTCTATCATGAGCTGGTTGAGGTTTTCCAGGGTCATGTCCAGGTCGGGGTCTTCCAGGTGACAGCTGGGCTGGTGAGTGACCAAGTCCTGGACCGAGTCCAGACAGACGGTTTGTCCCACTCTCAGGACATGAGTGGGTCTGACGTGGGCCATGCCTCCAGCTGCAGGCATCATGGTAGGGGGGCCGGATTCTTCTGGACCACAGACACAAAGGAGACGTTAGACCCATCATTTAGTCAGGTTTGATTTCTTCTTCTGGTCTCTGTTAGACTTTAGGACCGTAGACCAGCAGCAATCTGGTAATTTAACTGTTAATCTGTTAATCTAACTTAATCTGTTAATCTAACAATCTGTTAATCTGACTGTTAATCTGATAATTTAACTGTTAATCTGTTGATCTAACTTAATTTGTTAATCTAACTTAATCTGTTAATTTAACTGTTAATCTAACTGTTAATCTGACTGTTAATCTGTTAATATGTTAATCTAACTGTTAATCTGACTGTTAATCTGTTGATCTAACTGGACGTTAGATCAGTTTTTGAACCTTTGACCTAAAGTTTGGACTCTGAGTGAAGCAACCTTCGGCTGATATCAGCCGAGGCTGAGCAACAGCAGGGAGGGTCTCGTCAGGCGGGGCGTGGAGCCCCTGAGTCATGAAGGTGACTGMTCGTTGCCATGGTTACGGCTGTGTTTCCCTTGCAACAATCAGAACTTTACAGAAGATTAAAGCTAAAAGACCAACTTTACTGCATGAAGCAGAAACTAAAGACATTTAAATTTATGTTTAATTAAAACMAACTTTTGTCTTTTAAGAACTGAGAAAGAAGTTGTGTTCATGAACTCTGAGCTCCTGACATGTTTCTTTTCTCTATTATTTTTACTCTCATACAGAACTTTAATCCACTGCTTTTTGCTTTCATGAATATGAATAAACTTAAAGGATCTCAGATTAAAAGAAGTTTTCTTACCTTTAATCCCTGAGCTCAGGCTCCTGGTTCTTCCTGCTTCAGTTCTCTCCTGTTGCAGCTTTTATTAATCAAACCCCAGCCCTGTTTCCTGTCAGCCAATCAGCTGCCAGGATCAGAAAGGTCTGCCTCCAAGATAATTATAGCSTATTACCAGATTATAATCTGTAGCTGGAGGCTCCTTCTGCAGGAGCACCAGGGCTTTCTTAGAAAGATTCAACAACAGTTTCTAAAATTAACTAAACTTTCGTTTTTTTCTCAGAACTAAAAATGAATTAGAATAAATTAAAAATCACAGTTTTTCCATTGAGCAAAAATGTTCATATTTATCTGTTATATATAGGTCACATCAGAAGATCAGACAAACATCAAAATAAATCATCAAAACTCTAGATAAAGGCTCAAATATAAAAAGGTCTCTACAAGTAAAAGTTACAGTGGCAAAATGGTAGCTAAAAAAATAACAGTARCATCAGAAAGTTTTCTGAAGCAGATCTGATCTTATTTTCAATAAAATGATTAAAAACCTTAAATCAGTGTTCAGAGAATAAACAACAAAATATATTCTAGAACCAATCGAATGTATTTCAACTTAAATCAAATGTGTTTCAATTCAGTTCAGTTTCAGTTTCCATCAAATGTGTTTCAGGTTTTAAAAATATGTTCTAAGTTCCCTCAAATCTGTCCCAAGTCTCATAAATGTGTTCCAAGTTCCCTCAAATCTGTCCCAAGTCTCATAAATGTGTTCCAAGTTCCCTCAAATCTGCCCCAAGTCTCATGTGTTCCAAGTTCCCTCAAATCTGCCCCAAGTCTCATAAATGTGTTCCAAGTTCCCTCAAATATATTCCAGTGCTCGTAAATGTGTTCCAAGTTCCCTCAAATCTGCCCCAAGTCTCATAAATGTGTTCCAAGTTCCCTCAAACCTGTCCCAAGTCTCATAAATGTGTTCCAGGTTCCCTCAAATCTGCCCCAAGTCTCATAAATGTGTTCCAAGTTCCCTCTAATCTGTCCCAAGACTCACAAATGTGTTCCAAGTTCCTTAAACATGTTCAATGTTCCCTCAAATGTGTTTAAATCCCACCAAATTTGTTGTAAATTGCACGTGTTCTGCTTCAAATCATGTTTTATTTCCATTAAGTAAGTCAAGTTGCTTCAAATGTTTTAGGTTTAAAAAATCTGTTCTAAATTTAAAAAAAGGGTTCTAAATTTTATTAAATCTGTTTTAAGTCCAGCTGGTTGGACTTGTCATTATTTTCCCACAAATGTTATTCTGACCCAGCAGACGGAAACGTTCGACCTGASATTAAGAAGTTACATTTTCCAAATCTCTGTGAAATCTGAAACTTCTGAGTAAAGTTTAGAACAAAACCTCTCAGAAGCAGGCAGACCTGAACCAGTTTTTATGAGAAGACAGAGGACTTCCTGTCAGAGCGAGCGTCAGCAGGTAAATATTTGAGTCTGGTTGGAAATCGGTCTGTGGAGGTACAACCAGCCCATACAAGGAGGTGGGACTTTCTGCTCTGACACACCTGAGAGCAGCTGAGGTGAGTCAGTTCAGGCTGAACAGCAGAACCAGGACCAGGATCAGATGAGGGGTCAGAGAGGACAGGAAAGAAGTGGTCCTGACAGAACATTRTACCTGAAACGTCAGCAGGAAGCTGAAGCTCAGGTTTGGTTTGTGGTGCAAAAACAGTGAATTAACCAGACAGAAATGTTTGTTTATTCTGACTTTATTGTATTTTTATAAGTTTGAATGATTTACTGTGTGACACTAAAAACATTTACAGTCACGTACACTGTGGTAAAAACTTAAAAAATAAATCTGAAGGGTAAAAAATAACTGAGAAGATGGTATAAAACACAAAATATTTCTTCAGGTATTTACAGGTGACGCTCCGGCCCTTAAAGGTCGGCCATGTCTTTGGGTGAGGTGACGGCACCTTTGGGAGAGAAGGTGGTGGTGGTTTCTGTGTCCAGCCCCGCGGAGCTCCGCCTCCTGAAGGTGTACCTGTAGAACCTCTCCTGACTCAAGCAGCCGCTGTCCTTCAGCAGCTTCAGCAGGTCGTGGCGGAACTTCACGCCGATGAAGGCGTAGACGAAGGGGTTCAGGCAGCACCTCAGGAAGGCCACGCACTGCGTGACGTCGGTGGCGAACAGCAGCTTGTTCTCGTAGGCGCAGATCTTGGTCCCTCCATTTCCCGTGTCCACCGTGGTCCAGAAGAGGACCACGTTGTAAGGCACCTGGGACACCAGGAAGACGGCCACCACGGCCAGGATGACCTTGATGGCCTTGTTGCGTTCGAAGCTGCGAGCCTGGCAGAGCGTCCGGACGATGCTGCTGTAGCAGACGCTCATGACCAGGAGAGGGAGGAGGAAGGCGAGGACGATCTGGCTGGACTGGAGGCTGACGCGCAGCCGGTCCGTGCTGCTGGAGAACGGCGAGCAGGTGTTGTTGTTGATGTTGGTGTAGACCATCTCCGGGATGGAGAAGACCATGGCCAGGACCCAGATGGCGGCCGACGACACCTTGCTGAAGAGGACGGCCTGCGAGCGGTGGCGGTGAGCGGAGACGGCCTTGGAGATGGCGAAGTAGCGGTCGATGCTGATGAAGCAGAGCAGGAACATGCTGCTGTAGAAGCTCACCTTGTAGACGGCGTGCATGGCCTTGCACACGGCCAGGCCCAGAACCCACTCCGACAGCGAGTTGGACGCCCAGAAGGGGAGCGACAGGGCGAAGAGCAGGTCGGCGAATGACAGGTTGAGCAGGTACACGTCCGTCATGTTCCTCAGACGCTTGAAGTAGAAGACGGTGAGGATGACCAGCAGGTTCCCGGCCAGCCCCAGCAGGCAGATGATGCTGTAGAAGATCGGGACGAACCAGAGACGGAAGTGTCGGTTCGATTCCTTCTCACAAACTGTCGGAAAATCGTCGTAGTAATCAGTGGGAACTGTTCCTTCGTCCAAATTGGTGGTGTTCCCTTCATCTTCAGACAAGCAGGACTGTAAACAAAGATAAACAAGAAAAGGTCAACAAAGGAGGAGGAGCCTGTTTTTGTTTCTTTAAGGTGCAGCGACACCATCGGCTTCCTCAGACTACGACTGCTGTTACTGAACCAAGCTAAAATTATTTACCTCAGGGACGTTTCAACACCTAAACCACAACCCAGAACAGAATCCTGGTCGGTCTTTGGTGGTCCGGCACCGTCATCTTTAAACTGCTCCCTCCAACTTCCCTTTAAACTTTAAATAGGATTTGATTCTTCCACACCTGCCTCTGCAGCCTCTGAACTTCTCAACTCAGATTGTAAATTTGTCGGTCCTTGTTTTGCAAGTTTTTTTTTTTCTTTGGTCAAGCACTTTATTTGTGACCATTTTTTATTTTTTTGTGACCATTTTTATTTTTTTGTGACCATTTTTCTACCTCGTCTTTAACAATCACTGGTTTTTGCATCTGAGAAATGATGGACCAAAATGTTAGACGGACCAAGACCATGAAGACACTCAGGTTTTCCTCTGTTTTTTTTATTCTCGTTTGTTTCACCAAATGATGGTTTCAATTAAAAGAAGCAATTTCCAAAATTACATTTATTTTTACACTGCAGGACAAGAAAACTGAAAAAAACCACCAAGTAGGATGAATATTTTATGCTTACGTTTGATTTATATTTGTGATTTTCCTCACCTTGAAATGGACGATCCAGATCATCAGAGTCGGCAGCAGGTTCTGGAGACCTGAAACACACCCAGAGTTTTATTACAGGTGAAAGAAAGAAACACTCAGGTTTTAACCTTAAAAAGTCTTATTTTACTCAGATTTCCTAAATCAACTTTGCAGATTTGTTTCTGTGTACTGTAAATACATGTGTATTTTGGGCAGTATTTTACTGTAATTACAGCAGCAAAGCAGTAAAATGTGTATATATTACTGTGAACCACAGTAAACAGTTTGTGTACCATCAAGTCCTCTCTACTCTGAATTAGTTTACAGTAAAAAAGTGTAAAATATGTTAAAAAGGGATTTTTCTTCAAGAAATTAAACTAAAAAACAACAAGGAATAAATTTATCCACAACGAAACGCAACAAAAACATCACATTTCAGTTTAAGTTATAGTTTAGTCTACAAATAATTATAGTAATGTATAGTAAAGTAAACAACTGTGATAGTCTGTAATACTCTACAATAACAAACAGTAATGGGACTGTAAATAAAGTAATTATATTGTAATGTAAAATATAGTGGTTGTACTGTAAGTACAGCAACGATACTCTAAAGTAAAATACAGCAATATTACTGTAAAAAAGTAACTATACTCTATGAAATACTGTAATGGTACTGTAAAACATAACAATACTCTACAGTAATAAACAGTAATGGTACTGTAAAGCAATATACAGCAATATTACTGTAAAAAAGTAACAATACTCTACAATAAAATACAGTAATTGTACTGTAAATGAAGTAATAATACTCTAAAGTAAATTGTAGTAATGTTACTGAGAAGAAATATACAGTAAGTATATTGTAAAGTAAAATCCAGCAATAGAATGTAACGTAAAAAACAGTAATTGCACTGTAAAAAGTAATGATACTCTAAAGTACAATACAGTAGTCATACTGTAAAAAAGTAATGATACTGTAAAATGAAATGCAGTTACTGTAATGAAAAACCAAAACTACCAGTGTAAAATACAAAAATGATGGTTTTAGCTGTAGTTAAACTTCCTCTTCACAGGCCTGTCAGATTTTTGGTGGTACTGGTGTTACTTCCTGTCCAACAAATGGTTTAAGTCATTGAAAAAGTACTAACTGTATTTCTTTATGAAGGGCTTGAAGTGGTCATCAGAGTTACTGACAAACTGTTTTTACAGCAAACTTCTGACTGTGGATTTACTCAGATTTAATGTCGGCTGCTTCCAAACACGTAAAAATCTTTTTACTGTTTTTGACAGGAGTTTGTTGGAGACAGCAGCAGGTAGAGGTAGTGTTTTTAAAAACAAATATCTGACTTCACTGTCAAGTCCAAATATAGTTCTTTGATCATTTCTCTGCTTTTTTCTAACAAATGTAAAAAAGTTTGTGTAAAATTTGTTATTCGGTCACACAACACATCAAATGAAAGAACTGCAACAAATAAAGTCTGCACTAAACCAGAGCGTGTTTTRTTTGGGTTTTCTGCTTTAATTCACCACAGAAGCTTAAAGCTCAGATCAGACTCACCTCCAGCAGCCGTCATGTTGGTTCTGGACGAGAAGCCTCAGAACTCTGAGYGTCTGGGTTTGATGGTGGTTTCCCTTCCTCAGGAAGAAAAAAATAATAATCTCTCGGAAAGTTTTTTTCTTCTCCTCCTCTGCCCTCAAATCTCATGTGAGAAGCTGACAAACCACAAACTATAGCTGTTTTCCTGCAGAGTAACACAACGTGGAAACAACACAACGTGTAAACAACGTGTAAACTACACAACATGTAAACAACGTGTAAACACAACATGTAAACAACACAACGTGTAAACAACGTGTAAACTACACAACATGTAAACAACGTGTAAACACAACATGTAAACAACACAACGTGTAAACTACACAACGTGTAAACAACACAACATGTAAACAACGTGTAAACAACACAACATGTAAACAACACGTGTAAACAATACAACGTGTAAACACAACATGTAAACAACGTGTAAACAACACAACA